GTATTCCTTTGTCCTTCATATCATAATTTCAGAACACATCATGCTTCGTTCAAAAAAAGATGCAGTTGTCCTTTCCTCCCAAGGAGCACAATTTATTTCAATTAGCTGTGGTTTTACAAGTTATTTTACTAAACATATTCTGTTCCTTACTTTCCTCAGGGGAAAAATCACAAAGAAAAACAGCTTGATATTTTTATAAACAAATCAGTGAATTTTACTATCAAGGGGCTTTTATCTTTTTCTCCTTCAACTGTCTCCTTGAAACTGCTTGCTTTTTTCAACTTTCATCTATGAGACCATCTCTAATAATCTGCCTGAATTTCCTACAAGTGTATTATTGTCCTTTCAGTCACATTCACATACAAATGTGGAAAAGCTCTTGAAAGCAGAGACCCTGTGGATAACACCAACATAGTTAAAAAAAGAAAAAAAAATATATATTTTAGCACTTTATAACTTAAAAAGCAATAAAAATTAGAAGCACTGCTCCGAGATTTTGCATTCCATGAACAAATATCCTTTTTATCATCTGTTTAATTTTCCTTGAAAAGGTTTATAGGTATTACTCTCAGACCAATAGCATAGAAGTCAAAATGTAAGATTCTCTCTCTATGAATAAAGACAAGCAGCTGAAGCTGAGGTAAGAAAGCGCCGCCCTGTGATGGGAGTCCATCTGGATCCTTACATCTTCCAGCACAGCAAACGCTCACAGCCTTCCCTGTTGGTGCTGCATTCCTGTACCACACAGAGCTTTCAGCAATGCCATGGAGGCAAGCTATGGGGTAAACCATGGTCTTTCCCAAGAAAGAAATAAACAGAAAAGTAACTGGTAAGGTGGAAAGTGATCCAAAGATGCAATGAACATGCACAAAAAGAAGGAACAAAATTACACTCCGAAGGAAGAAAAAGCCCAAGCATGTAGAATGGCAAAAGGTGCGCAAATGCAGGTAACAGTAACCTTTCAAAAGAAAATGGGGACAGATTAAATGGTCTAGGCTCATTATAGAGTAGTCTGAATCAAAATTAGGTATGAGAAATAATGCAGGAAGATCACACAGTGCTTGCCTCTGTTAATGTAAGACAAAATTTAAGAAAGCAAAGAATCCATGGGCAATCAAACCCTCCTGGAAACAAGCTTCTTTACAGACCACTCAAAAGTCAAAGAGTATTCAGCCCCAATGCACACTGCTAAAACAATACCTATTAAAAACAAAAGGATGAAGACCGGTGCTGACAATGTTTAACATCACAGATGAGGAGCACGGCTGCTCAGGGTAAGTGCTGCATGTTTCAATTCCTAGGACTTTAAAACCAAATATGTCTACCCTACTTTAAATTTTCTAACTCTATCTTCAATTAGTTTACATTGCTGTTTGTTTCACAATTACAGGATGAGCCAGCACTTTTTGGCCAAGGGACATAAAATTCTGGAAATCTATAGGAATCTGCAAAGGTTGACAGAACTGAATACCTAAAATGGGAGCGTGAGGCACAGATACAACACAAAAAAAGCTTAGGAATCCATTGTGCAGACAGACATAACATTATAATTCCAAAACTGAAAACCAGAACCAGGACAACAGCTTGAAATGTAAACAATTATGGAATCACCCACAACAAAGTTCACCATGTGTTTGTTCAGGGAACCTGTATCCTTAGATTTAGATCCTTCCTGCAGCAATACTGAGTGTATAGACAGAAAAAGTCAAGAGGCCTGTAGCAGCCCAATGGTGCTGCAGCTCTCTAGGAGGACTCTGCTGGAAGGAACGTCGGGATCCCTCCAGACCCAGACATGCTGCAGTCAGCAGGATGTCGCAGCCTGGGACACGTGGCGCCTTTTCCAAACAGCACCAAAGCCAGCGGCGTTGCACCGCTTCCATCCTGCACAGCCAGCCTCATCTCCTCTGCTCTGCCCCACGACATCCCAGCTAATTACACTTAGCCTCATCATTCTGGCCGGAGCAGTTTCCCTTTAGCTGCTGCTGTGGGGTGGTATCAGCTCTGACTCTTCTGGTACAATACGGCAGGGGAAGGCACACACGGAACCGCACAACGGGAGCGACAGCAGCAGAGACATCTCTGGCATTTGCTCTGTGTTGTGAGTTACATAACGCTGTGATACTCCAGAGTAGATGCTGCTTGATGACACAACTGATCTGCTGGCAACAGCTGGATGTTCCAGAACAAGAAGCACGTTGAAAAATCAGTGATGTGCAGGTATACCTTTGTATCAGTCAAGAAGACAGGGCAACCTAGAAAACTAGTTAAATATTGCAGCCCTATGTCATAAAAGTTTGTGGATAAATAACAAGATTAAGGATTAAGTCCTCAATTAAAAGGCAGGGATAACACATAACCAAGATGAAGAACATGTTTCCTTACTTTTCCTTGACAGCAACATCAGCCCAGACTACTTCAAGCTTAGTTTGAACGGAGAAAAACATAATTAAAGTTTTAATTAGAATTGATCGCAGTCCACAAACCTGAAATGGATTGTGCTGTATGAACACTGTACTAGAAGATCTTTCAAGCAAACTGGTGTTCTTAAATGAACTATGTTCTTTAATAAGAAAAGGCATTCTGTCAAGTAATAGGGTAGTAGTGAAAACTAATGACTCTGAAAATGTGTGACAGAAACAACTACAAGGAAGTACGTGTTCTGAAAGGGACAGTGATTATGTATTATACAGAGACTGAGCTTCCACATACACTTATTTTTCTGTGTGAATAATCTGTTGCATATCATATTCAGGTTATAAAATATGTCCATCTTTTTATTCTTCATAAAGAGATAATGATACCTCTGAGATCTAAACTTTCCAACATATGAAGGACAAGAATGCCTATCCAAAGGCACACTAATAACAAAACATTGCTAAAAATGTATCGCCAGCAGAATTGTTGGGAGAAGTACCTGTATTGCTTAAACCCATCTGTTACATTAACATCTTCTGTACAAGAACATAAAATTTATTCATATATTTGGCCTTTTGATAATTGGCTATGGGTTTAATGCCCAAGCAATAACCCTTCAATTTTAATAAAAAGGGCAGGTGTTTTCATCACCCTGTTATCTGCACGTTTGCTTGTCAGCCGAAAAGCCTGGCGGTGCAGGTAAACCCCCTCCCCGCCTCGCTGCACCGCTCCGGGTCGTGCGGGATTCGGGAGCGCGGTACCTGCGCGGCAGCGGGAGCTCCGCCCGCTCCGGCTCCAGCTGCCCTTCGCCCGAGGAAGGCGGAGAGCCCCGTCCCACTCCGAAAAGCCCCTGAACAGGCTCCTCCAGGGCCGGGGAAACGGAGGGTCTGCAGTTGCGTAACATCAACCCCCCCGCTTCCCCTTCGCCTTTCCCTCCCAATCCCCGACGGTTTCTCCGCACGCCAGAGGCCGGAGCAGCCAGCCCGGGATGGGGCAAGCCAGGGAGGCGCCGGGGGGACACCCAGCAGAGGAAAGGCTCTTGGCATTGCGGACGGGATGCGAAGCTGGGGTGGGAGAACCTTGCAAGCGGCTTCATGCAGGAATGGGACCGCCTGGCTGGGGTGGGAGGAGGGAGGCGTTCCCTTGTGGGGGCAGTGGGGAGAGCGGGGGACTCCGGGGGGTGGGGACACCTCTGGGCGGGCGGGAAAAGCCTCGTACCGGGGGAGCCGGCGGCACGGGCAGCGCTGCACAGGGCACCGAGCGGCGGGCACCGAGCAGCTCGCGGTGCCCGGCAGTGCAGGGTCCCTTCTGACAGCGCCCGCACGGCGCTGAGCCCCCGCGTCCCGGCGCGGCACCACGGGCGCCGGGGAGGAGTCCCCGCCGCAGCGCAGAGCTGCCCCCGCACCCCGCGGCCACGACCCGGTCCTTCCCGGCGGGAGATGGAAGAGCAGGGCGAAGAAGCCCTCGGGGTACCGGCAGGCGTTCCTCCCCTCGCCCCACACAAGCAGCGCGTCTCTCCGGGTGAGAGCAGCTTATTTCCAAGCGATGCTGGCGCGCAAAGTTGCGCCGGTCGGGCAGCCCCTGCCCGCGCCCCCTCCCTCCCTCCGCAGCCGCGCACATCCCGGCCCCCGCAGAGCCCCCGCGCTCCGCTCCGCTCGGGTCAGCGCGGAAATCGCCTCCCTCGCGTTCCGCGCCGGCTGCTCACGATCTGCCTCAACCTGCTCCACCTTTTGTTTTGATCTTTGGAAATGAAATTCTCTCTCCTGCCGTCTCCTTTCCCTCCTCCTTCTCACGCCTTCGTGTGGGAGATGCCCAGGATCGCACACCAGCTTTTGTTATCTCCTCCCACCTCCATCTTCACTCCGATTGATGCCCTAGTAAATAGCAGGAGCGCGGCACCTCCGCCCCGCACCTACCCCGCTACCACCTGCAAACACCTCGCCTGTTAAATAAATTAAATGATAAAATAAAAACATCCCATACAGGCAGTATGAAAAGCAAGAGAGAGATCGCATGGATCGGGAGCACTTTTGCTCCCTCGTGGTGTGATGACCTTGTGAGGGCTGCTCTGGCGCTTGGCTTCGCACGGTCTTTTTTCCTTTTATTTTTTCCCTCTCCCTACTGTAAAAAAATCACGCCCTTTTCGCTATCCCTTTTCAAACGAAGACGAACGCCAGACTCCCTCTTCCACCAAAGCGTTTCCAAGCGCAAATTGTTACGCGACAGCTCAGCTCTTCCTTTGGATGCTGTCGGTGCTCACATCCGGATCGGTGGGGCACTCGGTCCCATCTCTCCACAGTTAACGGCAAATCGCCGCGGGTTCGATTTCCCTCCGTCTCGCCAGCGGAACAACTCCCGCACACCGACCGCGCACACCAACTTTCCCGGTGAGGATGATCTCCGACCGCTGAGCAGCGCCGAGGCCGCGCAGCCCCCGCCTCAGCCCCGCCGCGCCTCCATCCCGCCGCCTTCCCGCGAGGAAAAGCCCCGCGCGGGGCAGCCCGGCAGCCGGTTCTCGCCCGCACCTCGCGGCTGCGGAGCCCGGATCCCCCCCCTTTCCCCCTGCGGTCCCTCCCCGCACTTACTGCGGGCGGGGGTCTGTCCGCGGTGCGGAGGAGGGCGCAGGGCCCGGGGTCCCGCGCGCTGCTGGGGCCGGAGGGACACGCGGCGCCGCCTCGGTGCGCGCCCGCCGCCGCTCGCGCCGCAGCTCCTGTGCGCGCCCGGTCGGCCCTGGCGCCGCCGCCGGCTCGGCCCCGTGGCCTCGGAGTCGCTCACGGCCGAGCGCAGGCTCCCTGTGCCCGGCGTCGTCCGTGCCTTGCTCCGCGGGCTGCGCTTCGATCGGCGGCTCCTTCTCTGCACGCGTGGAACCGCGCTGCGCCCGGCGTGCGGGAACAGCGCCGGCGGCGCGGGGTGATCACAGAATCAGTGAGGTCGGAAAAGACCTCTGAGATCATCGAGTCCAACCTGTGACCAAACATCGCCTTGTCAACCAGACCGTGGCACCGAGTGGCACGTCCAGTCTTTTAACACCTCCAGGGATGGCGACTCCACCGCCTCCCTGGGCAGTCCATTCTGTTATCTAATCACCCTTTCTGTGAAGATTTTTCTTCTAATGTCCAACCTAAACATGCCCTGGCACAGCTGTACACTATGTCCTCATACAGGAGTTGCCTGGGAGGAGAGGCCGATCCCCGTGTGGCTCCTTCCCTGTGCGAGGTGAGGGCAGCGGGGTCGGCGCACGGAGCCGCCTGTCGCCGTCACACGTGTGGTGTGCAGGCGTCATCGCCCATGGCAGGCCACGCTCACACCTTGGCTCTTGTCCACCAGCTTCTTGTGCTGCCGTGGAAGGTGATTTTGCACAGTTTAGCTTTAAAACATCATTCAGCCCCTGAAATGTGAAATGCAGCCGGTCTTGCCCTTCAATGTAAAACCCACCTGAGGCTGCCCTGCCCTCGCTTTTGTCACTGTTCACTGCAGCAGTTCCTTTTGTGGTAGGAGTAAACGATCCGGGCTCCATCACCAGACACTGCGCAGCGTGTAACTAACTGTAGGTCCTTTTAAAGGCAGAGACACACATCAGTGTTTACTTTCATGCATGACAAGCTCTGTCACTGACTGTTTACATAAATTAAGCATATTTAGCATGTCCTAAGCACAACGCTGCAGAAAGCAGATGGATGCAGCAAGGAGGTGAAAGGGACGCAAAATAATGACATATATAAAAAAGAGTGGATTACACCATGCCTGTTTTTAACTATCTGCTCATTATTTCAGAAAGACAAAAGCATGAAGATTGTGTAGTAAGTGATAGATGGAAATAATTTTTCATTTACTGTTGAAATGCCCGAAGAATTACATTATAACACAAGCAGATGTGTACAAATGTACAGGAAGTGACAGTATTTTCAGTATGCTAATGCAGACAATTGAATTCATAGGTTATCTTTTTGTGATTGGCGAAAGCCACCAATTTTGCTCCCAGAATTACTTTTTTTTTTTGTGTAAGGCAGCAATTTTATGCTTTTTTTTTTTTTAATTTCCCAGTGCACCGCACCCCTCTCTTCATGTTTTGATTCTCTAGATGTGTAAAAATACCACCTGAAAATGCTAAAAATTTAGTTCTATTCCAGGCTTAGCAGAAAGAAACAAGATTTGATACACTTCACTGGATATCTGTGAAATTCATGTTTATTTGTTCAGATTAATTTAAATTATTTTCTGTCATCTTCATATTGTGCTACCTCATTGCTTTCTTGGCCTGGCAGATCATTAATAATCATCTCTAGCATAATGAAAGTTAGACTGCTGTAACATCTGCTTCTAAGTTTTAACTGCATTGTTCCCTCACATTTTCTGTCTCTTGCTCAGTTCTTTATAAGTCTGTCTTTTACCACCACAGTGCAACATTCATTCTGTGTGACCTATTTTGATCTTGTCCATATTGCAGTTACTGCATGACTTCATCTCATCTTCGTAACTTTTCTAGTGGCAGCAGCGTAGCTGTGGAACTGCAGAGCTCTGGGGTGGCTCTAAATTCAGGTATTTACTTGGTGTCTTAGCTGGGTTTTGTGTGTTCTTCCACAAGTGCCAAGGCAGCAGTATTTCAGGCAGCTGGTAGAAAGCCACCTTAGGCTTCATCGTCTGCTGTGTGACTGGGACTTAGAGATGATGCCCCTTTCCCCATCATTTGGGGTCATCCTTTGCAAAAACCTGAACATTGCTTACCCTCAAAAAGCAGAAATAATAGGTTGAATTAAAAAAAAAAAAGAGTGGCTAAAACATATTTAGATAGAACTTTTTCTATATTATAGTATTTTTTAAAAATCTCATTCAATGGCAGAATTCCCATCAGCTACAAAAAAAAGGTGTCGGTTAAGCAGAAGATACTATGTAGGGCTTTTTCATGTAAAATTTTCCCTGTCTATATTTCGGTAATTCCATATAAAATCAGTTTACTTAGACTGCATTTTCAAAAGCATTTGAAAACAAGATGCTCATCCAAAAAAAGAGGTACTCGACAGTATTATTCTGGAAAAATGGCTTATTTTTACATGTACTACACCACAGAAACAATGCAATACAAAATCCCATTTGAAAAGTGTATATACATATAAAACCTCTCCACTTGAATTACTAGTGCTTAGTCAAAAATTCCCATGAAAAAGCTTAATTTTGGTGTAGATCAACAATTTAATAAGTTACTTCTATTGTATTCACGGTGTTATCACTAGAAAGGTAATAATGACATTACCAGTGTGAGCTATTATGACATGTCTTACATGGTGCTGTCCTACACTGCATGCAATTCCTGGAGGCTTTTGTAAGTTGGTTGTAAACGTTTACCAGTTCAGATTGTTGGTATTTTCAGCCACTTAAAATTCATTTTTTTATCTGTGCAAATAATGTTGTATTTTAGACTGTGGAGAATTGCATTCGCTACACTTGCTTCGCCAGATAGATAATGGTAGAATTTTCCATTTTCTTGCTATACAGTTCTTTGGATGTTGCAAATGCAATTTATTGTTGCCAACTAATTGTTGCAACTTCAGATGATTTTTTAACCTCAATAACATGATGCTCATAATGGGGTGACAGCAATTTAAAAGAAGTCAGGGTCTGACCCAAAGTTTCCTATTGAAAGTGTGTATTTTTTATTTCACCCTCAGTATGACCTGTGTAAATATAAGAATTCTTAGCTTATGAATGAATAGCATAACAACTTGGGTGCCTGCTGTTTTACAGTCTTCCATTCCTTACATGAATCTTCTTTAGGCTTTCAATCTCCTGGACATGCTGCTTGTACCTTTGAAAGAAGCCAAGTGAGGGCCCGAGACTCTGATCTTGTCAAGGGAGATAGATATGCATCTCCAGAGGAACATTCAAAATCTAATGAAATTGAGGATCCTCCTCTCCTTTTTTTCTCTCCCTCCTTTGCACTCCAGAGTAGACAATTCAATATTAAAAGACACAGTAGTCTCTGAGAGGACTCGCTATCTCAGCAGGTGGCTTACTGGTAATGAGATTTTTTTTTTTTTTTTTTTTTTAAATTTAGTCTGATCTCCTGTTTTGCAGACATCAATTTAATTGCAGAATATCATTTTGGGGTGTGCATTTTCCCCTCTCTCTTTTATGCTCAATACTTGCTAAGAATATATTTGCATATATATATTTACGAGAATCAACAGCAGGAAAAATATAATTAGAAGGAGTTTGTATCTATATCTACATCTCTAGCTATATGCTTTATGTTCTGCCAGGCCTTTTGAAGGAATATTTTTTTTCTTTCTGTGTTCCCTTGGTGCAGTTTTAGCAGACTGAGATGTACTTGTCTGTTAGGTGGGGAGCTGAAAGCAGCAATGCGGCTGCAAGGATTGGCAGAAGGGAGCTGCTTCAAGGCTCTGTGATTAAACGAAGCTGCTGCAACACACTGCAGTTGGAAAAGGGTGAGATTCTTGATGCTCAACAGCAAACAATGAGCATGGCTGATTTTTTCACTTTCAAAGTGACTAGATTGTCTTGCTACTTAATGTGCTATATATAATTACATGAAAAATGGCATTTTTATATATGTATTATCTTTCATTTTCATGTCTCATTTTTAAATACATTTTTAAACAATGCCCCTAAGAATATAGATAAAATAGAATGAACTATTTTACTAATAAATGCAATTTTTCTTCTTTGTGAAATGTAGTGATTTCTTTTGTGCAGATCACCTTTGTTTGTGTCAAACAAAATAAATTATAATTCAGTCTTTTTATTAATGAGACCATTTATTAGTCTTCAATTTCCTAGGCTCATGGAATGAAATGCAAAGAAAATACCATTTATGTAACATCGTCTCTGATGTTGTATAATACAGTCACAACTGGGGAGTGTGTGCAATGCCTAACTTTAGAGCCGACATTTGATAGCTAAATACTTGTTTGTTTGCTTGCATTTTCTTTCATGTCAGTGAAAATACAAAGAAACTGTAATAAGGTGATTCAGGCTGGGAACCTGGCTAGCAAGAGTCAAGAAAATAAATATTTAAGTTCAGGCACCTAAATGAAATGTCTAAAGCTAAATGGCATGAGCCCAGGTTTCACTCCAGTAGGCTGCTTCCCACAGAAGCTGTTCCAGTTGTTCTTCTTAAGTGAGGCATTTGCTCAAGCAGAAAGAAAAGGTTGACATTCTGGACCTGAGAAATATAAGCTTCAAGTAAATAATGGGTGTTTAGAAGGATAGGAATGACAAAACTTAGAAGCATTTCATTTTCTACAAATGTCCTAAACATAGCTTTCCTCTGCCATTTAGCTCAAGGCAGAACTTCTACATACACAGAATAATTCCTGTGGAGTCACGCTGGTCACATGGCCTTGAGATGTCCCAACTTTGTTTGGACTTTGTTTGCGTATTTGATCTGTGAGTGATTGTTCTTAGCTAAAATATTATAATGATGACATGGAAAAATTGGAACACAACTGTAGAAGTAATAGCAAATCATGAAATTAAAAATAGAGGAAAAGGCCACAAATTGCAACTAGGTTAGCAGATTTATTACTAATGGAATTCTTACTTTAACCAGCACACATCAAAGCAAACAAGAGTCTACCTAACCTTTTCTGACACCAGATTATCTTACTCAGCTTTTCATTTGTGTCATTATTTTTATTATTAATGTTTGTCATACAGATATGTATGAGTCATAATACACTTCAATACTGTGATATGAGTGTATTTTCTCCTAAAAAGTGGTGGGAAGGGTAGA